TTCCCAAGTGTTTAGAGGTTAGTTTTCCTTAATTATTAGGAAGCGAGAACGTGCATACTTTGAATTAGTAATCAAAGGGTCTAGTCAATATTGTTAACTCTCAGGAAGCACGCACTAGTAGATGGGAGGAGAGACGTGGAAGTGCCCAGTAAAGGAGGCAGGTGATCAGTGTATGGGTTAAAGCCCTGAACAGACAGCTGTGGGCCTGGGCCGGCCCCCACTCACTAGCTGTTTACCTGTGAATACGTGGTAAGCTTTTACTTCTTCATCTGGAAATAGGGATTCTAATGACATCTGCTTTCTAGAGCTTTTAGTCTGGCTAATAAGATAAGATGGGAAATATTTCAGATGAGGTCTAGTGCATGTTAAGTCCTTAGTAAATATTAGCTAATTAATGTTATTACCAACATCCATATGAATATTTAGCTTTAAAATGTATTTTACATCGGAATTTAAACATGTATGTATCTTATATTTTGTCAGATTACTTCAGATAAAAATAAAGCCATAATATGACACCACAGAGAAATGGTGTGTACTCAAGCTTGGGGAATGTAAGATCAACATTGTAAATTGACTATACTTCAATTAAAAAAAAAGAAGTTAAATGGTTCTTATAGAGCAGGGCTTCTTAGAGCTCTTAATATGGTAATGTGCATAGTGAACATTCAGAGTTACAGAAATTCCTATAGTTTGGTTTTTTTTTTTTAATCTTGGATATTTTTTTTCCTACACAGAGCATCTCAAAGAATTAGAGTTCCACAAAACATTTAGAGGAGAAAGTTTGGTGGACTAGATGATTGCTCAGGCCCCTGTCAGGTTTAAGAAAAATAGTTGTACAGACAAAAACCTGTTGAACAATTGTCCAGCACCCATTGTCTAAACCCATGCTACTCAAAGTGTGGTCTGTGGGACAAGGAGTTTGTTAGAAATCTAGATTCTGAGGTCCCAACCCAGGCCTACTGGAAAAGAAGCAACATATTTAACAAGATCTGCTGGTGATTCTTGTGCATATTAAAGTGGGAGAAGCCCTAGTCTAAAGGTTGATGTTTTCTGCTGAAGTCTTCTGGCTGGTTTGTCCTTTCCAAATACATCCAGGTCAATAGCCATTGACACCAAGGTGTCTGTTTGCCTTGGCAGCTGGTCATCTCTTAATCTCCAGTGAGGTTTCTCACAGTGTAAAGGAAGAGAGCCCTGAAGATGAAATCAGTGTCCCTTTCCAGTGGTGCTAGAAGCTCTTGGAAGCATTACTGAGCTTTGCTCTGTACTTGTGCTGATTTCAAATCTTATTAAGCCAGGAAGTGGTGCCTGGCAAATGGTTTATCCTGCCTTGGCTATTCATGCTTCCCAATTCATTTTTATTGTGCTAATTAAACCTCAAGTGATATTTCAAGTACAGATTGTTTTTTCCATTATTGAATCTTTGGCCAGCATATTAATGCTGTAGAATTAACATGAGTCAGATGCTTACTCATTTGTGGAAGACTTTACATTGAAAAGATCTAGACTTGGCCAATTTTGCACAGACTCCTTTGGAAACTGCTATGACAGGGTGATACAGTTTCTCTATAAATAAAGGAGACTCACTCTTCCCTCGCAAATAGACATGTAATTATTTTTTAAATGGACCAAATTCCTCGATTGTGGATATGTATTGGTATTTATAGCCTGTGTTGAAATGGATGTGTGCAGTCTGGGAAGGTAGTATATTGCAGTGGTGAACACCTTGATTTTTGACTTGACATCCCAGGTACTGGGGCAACTTTGGAAGATGTATTTGAGTTTTCCAAAACTCATATTCTTCTTTAATTAAATGAGGAAGAATACTTAACTTCAGGCTTGGATGTAAGGATTAAATTAAATGAAACAAAATTTTAAAGTACTAGACAAAAGTTTCTGGTTCAGTGAATGCCCAGTAAATGCTATTACTAGTACTGTAATTAAGCAAACATTTTTAGAATTGTTAGTCATGTAAACTTAGGCTTGAAGAAGAAAAAAAACGACAGTAGATTTCATAGGGGAAATTAAGATTATGGCATAGCATTCTCTACTGAGAATCTCTTTATTTTAGCCTCTATTGTGCTCCAAATTTCTAAGCTGTTAGATATATTTACAAAAGATAGGAAATGTACACCCTAGGTTAATATTTGAGGTGCCTAGAAGGGTGTCTTCAAGCTCCATTGGTGGAGTCCAGCTGGTGGAGGAGGTCATACCTTAAGAACAAGCACCAAAATGAAAACCTCAAAAGATTTGGAAGGTAAATCTGAGGCAAATTCCCCATAAATAGAGCAAATAGACAAAAAGATAGTAAATAAGAGAGAAGGGTTTATAATTAGGTGAAGTATCCAGAAGGTCCAATCTCCAAATAATAGGAGAGCTAAATGGTGAGAAAGCATTATGTCCTAGTTGAACTGGCATCATTTTTTCCCTTTCTTAGTGGTGCATATCACAGTGTTGTTTCCTATAATTAAGGCTGTCCTTTGTGTTTCCTTACAAATTTTAGAATTATTTGTTCTAGTTCTGTGAAAAGTGCCATTGGTAGTTTGATAGAGCTTGCACTGAATCTGTAGATTACGTTGGGTAGTATGGTCATTTTAATAACATAAATTCTTCAAATTCATGAGCACAGTATATATCTTTCCATCTGTTTGTGTTGTCTTCAATTTCTTTCATCAGTGTCTTACAGTGTTCTGAGTACAGTTCTTTTACAACTCTTTAGTTAGATTTATTCTTAGGTATTTTATTATTTTTGATGAAATTGTACATGTGATTTTTTTTTCTTAATTTCTTTTTCTGGTAGTTTGTTGTTAGTGTATAGAAATGCAACAGATTTCTGTATATTAATTTTGTACCCTGCAGCTTTATCGAATTCATTGGTGAGCTCTAGCAGTTATTTGGTGGCATCTTTAGGATTTTCTGTGTACTGCATCAGGTCATTTTCAAACAGTGACAGTTTTACTTCTTCCTTTCCAATTTGGATTCCTTTTATTTTCCTTGTCTGATTGCTGTGGCTAGGACTTCCAATACTATGTTGAATAAAAGTGGCAAGAATGGGCATCCTTGTCTTGTTCCTGGTCTTAGAGGTAGTTTGAGTGTTTTTTTTATGACAAGTTTATGTAGAATTATAGACTCTTCAAACTATGTGAGTATATATTTTGATTAAAAAATACTATTTTTAAGAAGTCACCTAAATCATTGGCTTCAAGAAGATGAAAAAAAAAAACAACATTTCTTACATCTTGCCATGATGCACTTCTTAATATATCAGGAAGCTTAATTGTCTTGGAAGTTGTCACCAACTATTAGAGCTAGAAAAAATAGAACTGGATCTTCTAATTGAACAATGTAATTTTATAGAGAAGAAAATGCATTGAGAGAGGAAAAATAACTCACCCAAGGTCACACAGTATAAGGCAGGTTTAGGGTCTAGGGCTCCTGAGTCCTGACCCAGTGTTCATTTCCGTTAACTACACTGCCTCTTGACCACTCGTACGTGCTTCATCGCCCCTTATAACTCAGAGTATTAGGGGGTGGTTTGAAACCCTGTGAAAGATACAGCACTGCTCTCTATTGGATGCTGACAGGAAGGAAGGGTTCTGAAGAGGTTACACCAGCCACTGAAAGCTAGACCTTGTTGGGAAGTCCTCTACCAATGGTGGGAATACCATGAGACATATACGGTATAAATCTTGTTGTAGTATGGTTTCAGTAATAAATAATACGGCTTTGTCGGTAAGGACTGTGTCATAAGAGAAGGGTTTGTGCATAGTATTGTGAGGATGGTGGGTCAGATACCACTAGGTGGGCGGGTTAATTGCAGTTTAACAGCTGCTGAAGATGAATTGCCTTTCCTGACCCCTGGGTACTCCTGAGTTAATGATGTGTCATAGTTCTGTGGGGTACAGCTGTTGGGGTGAATGCAGTCCTAAGCAGAGTTTCTGATACCAGCTGAGGGACTTGCTTGATTGGCAGGACCTGACATACTTTGAGACCCACCTTCACATTAAAAATACTATGATTAAAAGCAGTATATTGGCACAAAACTGTAAAAATGACTATAACTCAATAAAAAATGTTAAGAAAAAAACAGTATAAACATCCAAATGGTGTAATAGTTTAATGAAGTGATAGCATTAATAAAGAAAAGCCGGCTTTTGAAATACAAAAGTATAAAAATGACACTCTCCTGAAATGTTAAAAAGTATTTATAAGCTTCAGAATTTCATTTGATAACAAGTACTTTCTCAGGAGTTTTCCAGAAAAGAACTTTTCATTGGAATAAGGATCCATATAAATTTTTTCATCTTATCGTAAATAGGATGACCAAATTTACCTAAAATATTTAACTATGATTTATATAACTGTTATGGTTCAAGCTTTGTGTCTTTGAAAAATGCTTTGTAACCAAATTTTCTTCCATAGTTGGACTCTTTCAAAATCTAGGTCTGATTTTTAAATATGTATTTCAAAAATCATAGTCTGTCTCTCTCAAAATCTAGTTCTGGTAGTAAGTTAGATTTATTAGCTATTTAATGCAAAAATGGATTTATGCAAAAGTTGTAGATGCCTCCCACCCATTTATCCTTGATTATTAAAAAATGGAAGAGAGAAAACTGGAGGTGGGGGAAATAAGTTGGTCTACAAATACAGTGACTATTTATGTGCCGAAAACTAGATTAATAACTGTAAAACGGAAAAGGAGTTAGAAGACATAGTTCTACAAACTAGTGGTTTTTTTAAAAAATTAAAGTTACTCTGCAACATCATTTTTAAGAAATATGCAAAATTTGTTTTCAGATCTCATTACAGCACATTTTTTGGTTCACATCAAATCTGTAAAGCTTATCAACCTGACACTTTTTCAGAGCAACATAAAGCAGTCTCAGAAATTAAATAATTATTGACCTTAAAGCAGAAAAGAGTTTTCGGTTTGCTGCTGTTATTTTGATAATGCGTTTAACTATTTGTATATGTCTCCCTTTTCTTTTCTTGTTGCACAGGTTTGCCGTCAGCAAATTTGGCCGCACCTAACCTCACTGTGGAGGAGGGAAAGTCTATCACATTGTCTTGTAGTGTTGCAGGCGATCCAGTTCCGAATTTGTACTGGGATGTCGGTAATCTGGTTTCCAAGCATATGGTAAGGCTTGTGTTTGGCTGAGCATTCCTAGAAATGAGAGTGTCTCAGAACTTGAGATTGTATTGACCTAGTGATGATCATTTAATATTTTATAGGGCCACATGATGATTTTTGTTTTGCTATACATTTACTTTCTATCTATTCTTCCTTAACAAAGACTGGCGCAGGTTGCATTTGAGTTATGTATACCCAATAGATGGCAAAGTCTGTAGGTCTCTAGTGAGCTTTTTGTATCACCGTGAGCAAGGGGAGTGACTCTCCTTGTGGACTTTTCCCTTGGAGGAAGGTAGGAAGGAATTCAAGGATTAAATCAACCTCACACATTAAAGAATTGAAATCTAGAGAAATAGAATAACTTCTGTTTTACTCCTTTGCCTGAGCCTGATTAGACTGGAAACCTTTTCTGATGTTATAGATGATTTTCTCTAGTTAGGGGAAGAAACTCCAAATCTTGTCACTTTGGGTTCAGTCCTAATCGAGATTATTTTTGTCTGTTAATTCATTTGTAGAATGAAACAAGCTACACACAGGGCTCCTTAAGGATAACTAACATTTCATCTGATGACAGTGGAAAGCAAATCTCTTGTGTGGCAGAAAATCTTGTAGGAGAAGATCAAGATTCGGTCAACCTCACTGTACATTGTACGTAATCAGACCGGCATGTGTTTTTAATAGCAAATGATTGTGGACACACCTACATTGGTTGTTGGGGTCCTCTGGGTGCTGTTCTAATGTGTTAGGAAAAAAAAAGTATATGCAGTTTTTCGTGCATACATGATTAAGAAATGTTACCAGCCCCTTTCACTTGTTCTGTTTCTGCTAATCTCTCTTGTTCA